TGCTCGGTGTTGAGTTCGGTCATGTGCACTCTCGCCTGCGCGTCTTGACTTGAGCGCGAGGTCTGGGATGTGGCCGCCACCGAATGAACCTCGTCTTCACCGCAGGAGGGGGGTATCAGGGTGGAGTAATCAAACCCAATGCTTGCCCCCCTGCGACTACGTGTTCGCTGGAATATGCCGTCCTGACGGCGTCGAGCGAACCGAGTGTTGGGTCTTAGGTCGGAGTCCGAGTCTGGCGAGTCGGAAAGTACCGCCTTCCCCTTATCCGTCATGTTAATCATGGCGGATGAGAGCTCTAGGTCGTCAGCAGCGCGTCCTTTTTGGTGACGACGCCTTTGACGGGAGGGCCTTGGTCGAGAGGACTGTTGAGAAAGTCTCTCGAACACCGAAGGTTTCGCCGTTCCGACGCACTGGCAGTCGGCGAGGACCGTGTGGATGAGTCTCTCGCAGTGGCACTGAGGATTCGCCTCATGGATAGTGCGTTTGCGAGTTAAATATTCTCTGAGGTCTTCTACGGGCGGTTGGTGACAACCCCCGGCCTCAGAAGAGTCGCTCTGGTGAGCTGACGAGAGATTTTTGGGCGCTCTCTCTGGCGCGTGTTGGGTGGAACGCCTTGGTGTTGGATTCGGGCGATCTCGCCTTGACTGGCGAGTCCCTTCGGTTTGACGGAACCCAGTACCGTTGGCGCGCCGTTTCAAACCCTTCGTTTGGGAAGAGTTGGGCTTCGGAGACATCGCCTACCCCTCACTTTTACGTTTTATCCGCAAGTGATCTATGGCGAGGCCTCGACAGCGCTTCGAGGATCGCCTACTCGAGGTAGCTCGTACGCCCTCGTGTGTTTATTCGCATCCAGGGATATGACCTGCAGAAGCGAAGTCCTCCTGAGCGGATGGCTCTGCCGTTAACTCGCGTTGGCCGCTCCTGATTTGGAGGCCTCCCGACGTCGGCCAGTTTGCCCTCTCTCTAGTGTTTACGGGCCTGTATGAATGGTTCAGGCCGTTGTGAAAACGAGGTTGCGACCCTTCCTGTCTTGACGACGTTTGCCGCTGCTGCTGGCTAGGTCTTCCAGCCTGAGAGAGACGTCACCGTGGGCTGTGGCAGTATAGGTTGTTGCTGAGTGAACCGGCTGTTTCCTCGAGACAGTTGTCTGCGTTTGGACGCTTGGCGATCCACTTGCAGACCCTTTACCTCCTCGCGCTCATCTCTGCCTTGTGGTGATCGATTTACGGAGGGGATGGGCTTCCTCGATTGAAGAGCATCGGGCGGAACCACGTAAGGCAGAGGCTTTGACCGTCTGGTCCGGCTCGGCGCACGATCCCGTGGGTTTGCGGGACGCTCGCCGGCCAGAGGAGGAGACGAGGACGAGTACGTCTTCGTACTTGGTCCTGCAGTCGAACTCAATATCTTAGGATCCACGTCGTCCTGACAGCACACCTCATCACAATTGACGGCCACGACCATTTCGTTCGATCAAAACAGCTTCTCCCACTGTGGTCGCCATCTTTGTATGTGTAAATTTGATTTCCCGGAAACAGGGAGTTTTGTTTGTATTAATAAGAAAGCTTATTACAAACTAATAATCAAATGGTTACAACAGAAGCAGAGGGAATGCCCTCTTTGTTTTGTGTGGGGACTTTAGGTGGCTATAGGACGCTTCGCTCGATGCTCGTGTCGAGTCTGCTTCCCTTGGACCGTTCGATCGAGGTTGCTGGAGAGCTTCAGTTCGCAGTAGAAGCTCGAATCGATGGAGTTCGGGTCTGCTTAGTTCGCCGGCGATCGGAGCTCAGAACTAGGCAGTGGTGCTGTAATGCAAGAATCTGCTAACAGCTTGGTCTCAACTATTTTTCTCTAAGTTTTGCGACCTCCCCTCCAGTGTGCTGGAAGGGGCTTTAAATGGAAGAAGGACAGCTTGACTCATCCTTGAATTATGGGATGTGACCATATCTTCTTCAGAGATATCTAGCTGCTCCTCGATACCATGAATGGTCATTCGAGGGATTGTGCTTTATGTCCTGTCACCTAAAATGGGAAGGCCCATCCTTGTATATGAGGCAACGGCCGTCTGCTATCCGAGTGGACTTGACCAGCATTAATGAACCGCATTTATGAGTTCGCAGATTGATGAGGTGTCTGTCCGATCACTCGTACTGTGTGTGACCGCCCGGCGTGCTTTGAGCACGGTGCTTTCTCCTTTCCGGTCAGGAGAGGCGGCGAAGTAGGTGCACAGTACTCGAGTGGGTCTTCAGGCCGAGAGAGGTGGGAAAGCGGGTTCCTGGTACTCGAGTAGGCTTGGACAGCTCGCCGGGTGCTGGCGGATCCAGCTCTTGACTTAGACAGCCGAGGTGAGGCGCATTTATGAATGCTCAGGTTGACTCGACACCTGTCCAGGCCTTCGTACTGTGAGCGTCCGCTTGACGGTCTGGGGGTATTGTGCCCTCTCCCTTCGGGTCGAGAGAGATGGGATGGCCCATCCCAGCACGTGGGGTAGCAGATACCCAGCTGTACTAGTGGCCTTGAGGTTTGCAGGCGGATTCGTCTTTGGACTCGGGCGGGCGAGTCGAGTAAGAGGCGAACTTCCGCTATCCTAATCGATCTTAACTTGTGCAGGCGAGCCGATCATTTAGGCGAATCTAGCATCGAGTACATTTGACGCCTACAGGGTTTAGGCCCGCGCTAGAGGACCGAGCGTGCGAGTTCTCCTCGCAGGCGAATTTCCTGTAAGCCCGTAGAGGTATTTTTCACCGTCTACAGCAACGCTATGACAAAAGAGATTACTTGTTGATAATCTCTCCAAATCAAGACGTAGAACTCATCACCGCGCTCTAAGACCAAAACGCGGAGGTCCTCCCCGTGTATCAACACCAAAACACGGAGGTCCTCCCCATGTGGCAACAGTAAAACGCGAGGGTCCAACCCACGTTACAACATCAAAACGCTGGAGTCGGACCCGCGTTACAACATCAAAACGCGAGGGTCGAACCCACGTTACAACATCAAAGCGCTAGAGTCGGACCCACGTTACAATATTAAAACGCTGGGGTCGGACCCGCGTTTTTCAATGCCCAGCGGGTACCCAACTCCGCGTCTCCAGTCTAAAATGCGGAGTTAGGGTCCTGAACGCCAACGTGGGCGTTTGACTCGTTCAAACACGAGCTGAACGGTTGCAGGAACCGTTTTCCCTCCACGATTTGAGGGATTTCCGCCCCACTTAGGAGCGGATTAAGGGGGCGGTTACACCCCTCTCAATCCCATTATGGAGAGAATTAAGGGGGCGGTTACACCCCTTAATTCCTTATAAATATGGGTAAACTCAATTGAGTTCAGGCTGACATTTTCGGATCTGGGACTTGGCAGCAAAGGGAGAGATCAGCATTCATCCTTTGGAGCATTCTTTGAAGCCTTCGGCCTTGGCTTGAGAACCGATTCTCGGTTCAAATCAACTCTTTTTCAAGAGTTTCAAACTCGTTCAGAGTTATCAACTCGTCCAGAGTTCTAAAACTTGCCACGCAAGTTCTCCACAACGTCAAATCGTGAGGAGAAGACATCGTTCCAGTGAATCAAGATATTCGGATCGTCAACGGAGAGCAAACTCGACGCGAGCATTCGAGGGAGGCACTCCATCGCCACCGTGAAGAACCTAGTTTTAAACAAAGGGGAGAACCAAATTCGTTCTCCTCTCTTTTGTAATCGGAATCCAATTGTAATCGATTTTGAGAGAATACAGATCAATTTTTCTTTCATTTCTTTTACATCGAATTTTTCCACAAACAGAGCACAGGTTCCGAGCATGTTTTTTTTCACGTTTTCAATGTTTCCCGACTATCCCGGACTTGTATTTTCTGTCGTTTTGTGTATTTGGTCGTCTTGTTGACTTGCACGCGTCGTTAACTTGCTTCATGCGCTTGTTAGTTTCTTTACGACACTTGGAACTGACCGACAAGCGTGGCGGGCACTTTGGATCTGACCGACAAGCGCATCGGGCACTTTGGATCTGATCGACAAGCGTGTCGGGAACTTTGGATCTGATCGACACGCGCGAGCTGACTGACGAGTGCTTCTGGTCACTTGTGGCTGACTGACGCGCGCGGGCTGACCGACAGGTGTGACGGCCAATTGGAGGCGGCCGGTGAGCGTACGAGACACAGTTGGTTCGCCATTTCGGTTCATGCACTTGTCGGCGTCAGATAATCCTCCTAGACTCGGATAACGACGTTCGTCATCTTCTCTCCGTCTCAAGCTGTGTGCGGACACCTATAGGTATTTTTAGACGCCTACATTCCTCTCCTCAGCACCGGTTCTATTCCTACTTCTGATCAAGAAGTGAAGGCCATGACCTATTTCAACGTGGCACTGCTGCGCACGTGCGATCCCACTCGCTTTGATCCTTATTCAAGGATGTCGCTGAAAGAAGGTTTCTTCTTTTGACCATCTATAATAAATCTTTGAACTATCAATTGGATGGTGATACCTAACCAAACTCATTCTCCTACAAATTTCTGGATATTTTCCACCGAAGTTACACCACGAAGAATTCATTTATTTTACCACAATAGCTTTTTTATTTTATTTTAAGACAATTATAATTTATCTAAAATGAGCAGGGAGAGGAGTGCAATCCATTGGAGTATGTTCCTAGTTATAATGGAACGAAGATGCTTTGTTCTGAAAATAGTTGAGTACCTACTGTCAAATAACAGAAGATGGAGAGAATTCAAATTAATTTTAGAAAAAAAAGGTCATATTGGGCTTTCGTGTGTGTGTGTAACTCATGTATATTTACAAGATATCCTGCAAATCTCAATATTTGCAACATGACCCTATAATCATGAACGGCTTTAAACAAAACACCTCATATGTCAACAAATTATCAATTTTCTTGAATATGGTGAGTAAATATTTAAGTATGATGTTAACTTCTTTTTTAGCATTGCAGTGACAAGATAGACGGTTTTAGGGGGAGGGGATAATTCATTGTGGTAATATTTGATTATGCCGAGAAAAAGAAGAATATAAGGTTGACATAATGTAGAAATATTAATACAACTATTACAATTTATTGATGTAAAATTTGGTTTTATATATACTATATCAACTGGCCTTTCATGATTTACGATGACGAAGTAATACCTCTCTGACTAGTTTCTCAAAGTTCTCAAAGGAAGATCCATAGAGTTTGGTAGTCCTAATTGCACTCTCCTTCCACTCCAATGCTCTCCTCTTCATTTCCTTCCCCTTCGCACCTCCCATAAGCTCCCTTACCAATTCTTCCACTTCCTCTCTCTTCACATCGTTACTGATCTCCATTCCAATTCCCCAGTTGGTACATGCATATCGACAATTCGTCTGTTGTTCTCCAAAGAATGGCCAACATATCATCGGTACTCCGCCACAAATGCTCTCCAACGTCGAATTCCATCCAGAGTGCGTCAAGAATCCTCCAACAGACGGATGCAATAGCACGTTCTCTTGTGCACACCAACTTGCTAGTAGACTCCTCTCTCTTGTCTCCTTAATGAATTCCTCAGGTAGAATTGCATTGTCGCCTTTAACAAGATCGGGTCTAATTATCCACAAGAAGTCACTCTTGCTATTAGCTAGCCCCCATGCAAATTCTACAAGTTGTTCATTGCTCATCACCGTTATGCTACCAAAGTTGACATAGACCACTGACCCGGGCTTTTTCGCATCCAACCACTCTATGCAACTTTTGTCTTCCTTCCACAAGCTTGAACTTAAAGATTCGAGGGGCTTACTTGGAGGTAATTGGCTTGAGAGAAGAGATAGGGGACCAATTGTATAGATTGGAGGAAGGATTTTAGCCATTGAGTCTAAAATTGGACGTTCGAGGTCGATGAAAGTGTTTAGGATGATTGCGGAGGCTCGAGAGGCTCTTCGTGCTTCACGGTTGCAATAGTTGAACATGATGTCATCAGGATTTGTTGCCCGGATGAATGTTGGCAAGTCTTTTAGACGTATGTTCTTCATCCCAGGTATCCAATCTATGGGTGTGTCCAGGTACCCACTTGTAAGATCACCCTCATCTATATGATCACGTTACAAAGAAACAAAAGTTTAGTTAATTTGGATATACTAACGCGACAACTTATATTAAGTATGTAATGAGATTTATAGTTATGATGTAGAGGTTCATTTTCTTAAAATAAGCTATCAAGAGACATGATAGTGAGATTCTAAAGCAGCGCGAAGTGATAAACCTAAGAATCCACCAAGGAGTGTTCTCTAAAGCCACAAAGAACAATCTTAGAATCTACGAAGAGACAACCTCGAATCCACAAAGTAATATAAAAGAGAATTTTATTGATAAAAGTAATTTGATTCTTGAGGTTTATAATCATTCTTCTTAAATAGAAAAACAATGTCTCCTAATAAGAACAGAATTCCTAAAAGAAATAAACAATTTAAAACTACTTAAAAACTCTCTATAATAAAGGAAACAAATCAGTCCCAATTAAATCAAAATTGATTTTGTTTCTTAATTTGAATTGACTCTAACTTTATTACTAAAAATAATTTAAAGACCGGTTATTTCTGAAATCCTACCAAAAATGAGTGTTACTGATGGGATTGTGGGATTCTGCCAAACTGATTGACTCTGTCTCATCGAGATAGGCGATTTTTATATATAATATGTTAGAATCCACCACCTGGATTGGGAGATATGGTTGTGTTTTGTGGCCAATCAATAATTCATATGTATCTGTATTTGACTCATGAAAGGTCCCACTTTTCTATGAATTTACTCGTTATGCATCCTACATCAGTGATACCATTTAACGCAACGTGGAAGTGATAAATCTCGGAATCCACCAAGGGGTGTTCTTTGAATTCACAAAGAACAACCTTCAAATTTACGAAGAAATAACCTTGAATCCATGAAGTAATATAAAAGAGAATTTTATTGATAAAAGTGATCTGATTCTTGAGATTTACAATCCTTCTTCTTAAATAGAAAAATAAAATCTACTTCTAATAAGAACATAATTCTTAAAAGAAAGAAACAACTTAAAACTACCTAAAAGACTCTCCATAATAAAGGAAACAAATTAGTCCTAATTAAGTTAAAATTGATTTTGTTTTCCAATCTAAACTGACTCTAACTTTATTAATAAAAATAACCTAAGGCTGATTATTTCTAAAATCCTAACAAAAACAGGTGTTATTGATGGGATTGTGGGATTCTACTATACTGATTGACCCCGTCTCATTGAGATAGGGGATTTTCATATATAATATGTTAGAATCCATCTTTTGGATAGGGAGACATGGTGTTTTTCCGTGGCTAGTAATAATTTATCCATATTTATATTTAACTGGTGAAGGTCCCACTTTTCTATGAATTTACTCTTTATGCTCCTACATCAGATCCACACTTTTTTATTTGACTAGCAAGATGAGTCTCATCATTAGTCTATATCGTGGTAGCTCATTTAATAAAACTAGTATAATGCACGTGCTTTGCACGCGAACATAAATGTTTTAAGTTTTAATTTTTTATTAAATAGTAAAAGTATGTGTTAATAAATAAAATTACTTAAAAATGTATGAATTAGTTATTATTATGTAGTTATTGTAATTGAATGTTTTTCTTATAATGATTGTCCAATGCTAACCTTTTTTTAAATAAGTCCGCCAAATCTATAATTTTTTTAAATAAGTTTACCAAATCTATAAGTTCTCTTAAATATGCCCCTCTAACTTAAAAGTTGTTAATTTAACTCTAAATTAACTAAGCTGTATTGATTTGCTAGATTTTTCCTGATGTTTCCTAAAGAGTTACACTTAATATCAATAACATATTATGATAGTTACTTCTCATTATAATTATTTAATAGGGTAAATTACACTAAATCCTTATGAACTTTTAGCTCCTATGAACTTTCAAAATTACACTAAAGCCCTAACTTTTCTGTTTCAAAGAAAACTCCTAATAATTTATTAAAATTTGCATATAACCCTATAAATTACATCTAGAAAATAACATAAAAAGGCATTTTGAAAGTTAATGGGGGTTTGGCATAATTTATCTAAAAGATATTGGGGGTTTTCAACAAAAATTATTAGAGGATTTTGAAAGTTCATAGAGTCTATTTATTACAAAATGCTGAAAGTTCATAGGGGTTTACTGTAATGTACATTATTTAATATTATAATTCTTAATTCAAGTAATATATACTATTTAAAATAATTATACTATCTATATACTATAAATATTTATCTAATTTAATATTTTTAATTATGCTTTTAAATAATGTAGTACTATAAATACTTTTTAAATTTTTATTATACTATCATTAACAATTAACAGTACTATTGTTAATATTGAATATTTTTTAAAAATGGTAAGTTTTCAATCATTACTAAGTACATATTATTCAGTATCATGTAATAATCTTTGAGAAAATATTCTACAAATAATATTAAATTATTTATTTAATGTATTTAATAATATAATACTAAATAAATAGAGTAATTAATAATTTATGTGATATTATTAAAATAATTACACTATTTACGATATTAAATATCTATTCTATTTATTTTATTACTCATTGAATTATAGTATAATTCTTAATAATAATTAGTAATATATTATTTTATGTATACTATTATTTTAATTATGTTATTATAATTTATAAGTGATTATAATAATAGTAATTTAATTGGTTACTATTAATAATTATGTATACTTATTTTATAAATTATTATGTTATATTGTTATTAAACAACTAATAGTATAATTTATGTGATATTATTAAAATAATTACACTATTTATGATATTAAATATCTATTCTATTTATTTTATTACTCATTGAATTATAGTATAATTCTTAATAATAATTAGTAATATATTATTTTATGTATACTATTATTTTAATTATGTTATTATAATTTATAAGTGATTATAATAATAGTAATTTAATTGGTTACTATTAATAATTATGTATACTTATTTTATAAATTATTATGTTATATTGTTATTAAACAACTAATAGTTATAATATTATTGATAATTATAATTATTTAGGAAGGTGAGGAGGTGCCTAATTAATATATAAGTGGTTATATTTATTTAATAAAAACTTAATTAGAGATAATGGTGTACTTAAAATTTATCAAAATTAATTAAGAGGGCAAAAGTGAAAATTAAAAATTTTAACAACTCAATTCTCCTTTTATAGTAGTATAGATAGATAGATATGAGTTATCCTCCTTATTTATTATTTATATATATAACATTTTTATGTTAAAGTGTGATGTATATTAGTGCGTGTCAATTTCAATGTCAACGTCACTTCATATTACAACTTCTTATCACATCCACTATCCTATACAGTAGTGACAAAGAAACGGGGTAAGATAAAGGGAAGCCCTAGCTACGTTCAAGAAAAGCTCTATAAAAAAAGGGTTTGGATCCTCGATTGTTTCATCATTAATGACTTTTTCTAATTTAACTAGCAACAAGAAGGTAAGGCCAACACAACCATGACGTATCTTCAAATTTTGTGGAGATTAATTTTCTACTCTTGTCACCTACCTAATTGACATACCTATTTACCTCCTCAATGTTTTTCACTATAATTGCGTTCTTGTTCAATCCTTTATGTATATAATTTATATATATCTTAATCATTAATTTATGGCTAAATAGCACTTTATCTAATAGTTTTATCTAATAGTTTCACTCCGTTAGCACTTATATATTCTTACTTATTTTCTATAATATTTATATATCCTAAGTTATTTAAAATAGAGACATTGGTACCTTCTATCATGCAAATAGGAAATTAAGTTTTCTAATACTTACAAGTTAGTTATACAGCTTTCTAACCATTAATACTTGTGAACCTTATCATTAATCCGATCCCAATTCTAATTTAGAGTAAAAGTAAGATCTTTTTAAAATAGAGTTTTTGTAGAATTAACTGTAAAGTTGAATCAATATTAACACTTAAAAAGCACTATAATTAGTCTGTAAATATCACAGACTGACACTCGGGTTAAGATTTCACGTTTGCATGATTGAGAGTAATAACATGCTAATTTTAAACAATTTAGGGTGTATAAATGATACAAAAGACAAATGAGGGTACACAAATGTTAAGTGAGTGAAACTATGGGGGACTTAAGTGTTATTTAGCCTTAATTTATTTTAGGGAAAATTGATTGGAGCAACTTCAAAAACTAATGTTATGCATCCTCCTCCCCAACCAAAAATGTCATGCTACCCAACCCTTATATTGAAAATTTAGTGCAACTACCACCCAAAAACTGTACAAAGCCCACAACCTAATAAAACTCTTCCCAAAATACTATTCATGTTTAAAAACTAAAGAAATATGGCTCCTTCCCCCTTTGCACAAAAAATTGTAGTTTGATCCTATACTTCTCAAAAGCTTTGTGTGAAGAGAAACAACAATCAGGAAAATTACAGGATGACAGATTTTATTTCTGTCCGATCGACCGTGGCAACATGTGCGGTCGATCAAAAACGTGCACAAAACAGGGATGAGTTTCTGACCATAACCGAACGACCGAGGCGGTCGACCGCCAGACCCTGTAGTGAATTTTGGTTTATGTCGATTGGTTACAGCTGACTGTCGTGATCGACCGCCAAACCCTATAATCGATTTTTGGTTTTTGTCGTTTGTCACGGTTGACCGTGACTTTATCGGCGATCGATCGCCAATCGGGTTTGGGCTTGGGCTTTGTTTCCTGTTTGCTTTGGGATTGTGTTTTGGTATATATTAAAACACAATTTTCTAGGTTTCCTAATTAGAGATTAGAGAGTGTTCTGAGCATATTGAGAGGGAGAATTTGTAAGCATGTTGAGAGATATTTTGGTTGGGTTAGTTTGAGTGATTGTGAGATTTGTAACTCTTTGTACTCTCCTTGGTTTAGTGGAATCTCCCCACCCTCTCCCCGTGGACGTAGGCAAATTACCGAACCACGTATATCTCTGTGTTTACGATTGGTTTGTCGTATTTTGGATTGGATTGCACTCGTGTTTGAATTATTAAT